ACGTGTGCTCTTCCGATCTCTGGCGCTATTCATTTATAACGCGGTATCTAAATTACCGATGATATTTGAAATCTGTTTGCGCAGTAATTAAAATTTAAAAATGGACTAAACTAATACAATTGGTTAAAATCCATTATTTATCAATCGGATGACGATAACGTAAAATAATCCACCTATTTGGCAATTGTTATTTAACATTAATAAACCGAACGGGACAAGTCCTAAATCTCTCACGCTATCCATTTGTTTATATAAAGCGATATCTAACAATTAACCATGATATTTGAAATCTGTTTGCGCAGTAATTGTTAATTAAAAATTAAAACTGAACTAAATTATTGGAATTATTTAAAATCCATTAGTTAACAATTGCGTGAAGATAACGACGATCCATCTGCCTGATAATTGTTATTTAACGTTAATAAATCACATGGAAGAAGTTCTAAGCCTCTCGTGCTATCCATTTGTTTATAACGTGATTTAACAAGTTAATAACAATTTTTGAGATCTGTCTATGCAGTAATTGTTAACTTAAACAAAAACTCTGTTTTTTTAAGAAACAAATTTACCGAGTATATAAAAAAATATTGTATATTACATTTTTCCTGAACTAAAAATATTGTTTAACAAATAAAATATAAAATCAAATATATTTTCTACAATATTATATTTTCTAAAAAAAAAATTATTAAGGTAGTCCGATATTTGAGAAAATATGCAAATGGTCAAGTATTTGAATTTTGCTGTACTGTTACTTACAAGCAAAAAAATATCACTATATGCAACTTGTGGATACATCACATGTTACCAATAAACATAAATGTAATTACAAATGTGGGTATATAAAATTATCAATAATATATATTTGTCTTTATATGTTTAATTTATCTACGTAATTATAAAATTTTATTTATATCATTTCGTATTTATAACTTACATCGAAAATGCATTTGGAATTCTACGTTTGTATATAAAAATACAACATTTTCGACACAATTTTTGCAATACAGGTGGCATTTGATTTACATTTTTGATTACTTTTATATCATTGGCATATTTCGTTTATCGTCTGACAATCGCTGTTTGATTCCAATAATTCTATATAAACATCTAGCAAGCTTATAGATATCATGACA